TTAATTAGCGTTCCTGGAATATAAACCGTTCATGTAGGCCAGTTTCCGACGCGGAGTGTACAATTACCTCTTCCTTCTTCCAAGTTTGTGGGAAGTCTTACAGCGATGGATACCAATTTATATTTTCTTCTTGATACCTTTCAATCAGGTCACAAAATCTTTCTAGTTTGGGCTAAACAGATGGATGCGGTTTCCTTAAACTTTCAAATCAGCTTTGTTTTTCTTTTGTTTAGGATCCGTATCTTTATTCCCCGCAGCCCTACCTCCTGTATACCGTTTTTGTCTAAAGAACTTTTATCCAATTCTAGTTTGCTATTACATTGGTATAAAAGGAAATGAGTCTTTTAACTCTTTACTTTTTTTCCCTTCGTTCTCTTGACTTATAACATATTATTAATTTCTATCTTTATTTTTCGTTATTCAGTCGTCTACAATCTATCTTGTCAACAATCCAAAAGGCCACAAAATTAATGCTTGCTTGTGTATGGTCAGTAATTATATCAACAGGAAATGTGCAGTTTTCTGTTACTTTAATTTTAACTTTCTTCAGGTTTTCCCTGTTTTATGATTTCGAATTTGACGTGGTGTTTTTATTGTTGTAACAGTCGTTCGTGAAGTTCAAATAGTAAAACGGTAGATAAAAAACACTATGATTCCTCCTAAGTACCAAATTTTTGATCGATTTGTCTTTTTATTAGCTATTTCAACAAGAATTTCGTTTATCTCTAAGCATATTATGAGTTCGTGAAGAAGAAATAGAAAATTTACATAACTGAGTTAACTATTCTGTTTATTTTAAATGTGGGACTTGTTAAACAAAGCTGATATAATAGCTATTTCATATCTTACGCTTTAGAATCTTTGCCACACGGAATCTTTACTTCATGATATCTACTTCTCAGACGAGATTTGTGTATGTCATCTGTAGTAATAAGTATAACAAAGCCTGACTTGGGTTAGTAGACCACCTTAAACAGGCCATCTGTGAAATTCATGACAGGACAATGTGTTATACCGTATTACGAGATCTAAAAATACTAGATGACACAAAGTAAACTGTTTGCCTTTACCGCGGGCGGGATATTTACGCTAACAACGCTTGGGCAAAGACTTCTTCGTCAT